TTGAAGCTAAAATCCGCCGAGAAAAAGTTCTCAAAATAAACCTTTTTTTTTTCTCCGCCAGTTCGTCGCCAGCACGTGCTCATCTTGCCCTTGTTGGCGACGTGTGCAACTGAAAGCGTCACTACGCTCGGCCTTCAACGATTGGCCTAATGCTTTCTTTGACGTTTTTGATGGGATTACTTTTGGTTTCGTTAAAAGAAACAACAGTAATGTAGGAGTACAACTTTGATGGTGTGCGCGATATCTACAATCTTGCGCTGTGCCTTTTACATGTACCATGCAACTTGTTACTCATAATTAACCTTATCGTGTGATGATCGTGACGTCAGGGGTCGATCCCACGAGAGCGCGCCACCTAAATATGATGTCGTCAATAGATGTTTTCTGTGTAACCTACCGTCAAATTGAAGCACCCTCAAACCTGTGTATTCAGGATTGCCCGCTGATACGCTGTATGCCACTGCGAGGGATAGGGAGATGTAACCTTAGGAACGATGTTGTGTGGCGCGTCGAGCTTAATAAAGCATACTACTCCGTGCATAAAATATTTCCAAGTAGGTTTGTTTGTGTTTCCATGTCAGCATGTCCGAAAATTTCCGGTTGCCTGCCTATCAATGCGTTGTCTTTGGGTACGCAAATAATCGCGAAAATATATGCGATGAGAGACAAGAAAGTATGGCAGCAATGTTTTTTTTCTTCTGCACACCTTCCTCACTGATTCTTGTGTACGACTTGGAGATTTTGAGGGTAGATCCCGAGGGATTTGTGCACGACTCATTATGTAATGTGTGCGCGAACAATTTTTTTGACAGAAAGCAAACCGAGTGCAAACCGGTGTTGGATGACCCGATTAGGTTAACAACGCAAGTAATGCCATCAGTGAATCGCATGTGAAGGCGGCTTCAAGAAGCCTACGCGACATATCTCCAGATACAAGTACTAAGTGGCGAGAACTTATGTGCACAGATGTCGGGCTACTTTCAATCCCTCATTCGTTTCTTCGTTGTAAAAAGCTCAGCCAATGTTTTCTACCGTCTTCGTTCACGTGTTCTTGAGAAGGAGCGGTGATACTATGATTTGGTAGATAGCGCTCTACAGTATTGCTGTTTCATGCGGCACTGTTCTTTTGGCGGAAAATTGTGGTTTTGTCTGGGAATTTAGTGCCTTAAATAGCTTTAAGAAGCCAGGGGGGAGCCAAACTTAAACTTCTTTGACCACCAAATAGTTGCCGAAGTCAGGCATCACCGCTGGTAGTTTGGCTGCTTTCGGTTACCTTCTGACTTAAATCTCCAAACAAGCGTCATAATTATGTTTCCCTTCTGGTTGTTTCGTTTTCATGCGGCAGCTTTGGTACTAAATTGCCGAAGTGACAAATTTTGACTTCACTGCTGATTCTTAGGTGTATACTGTCTCAAGTCTGGCACTTTGACAACTATATGGCGAGCCAAGATATGGCCATAGAAGCGGCGAAGAAAAATACTCTGCTACTATTTAACGCCGTCGTCACTACAGGCATCGAGGTCCTCCAGCGCTCTCTTGGTCGAACGACAAAATGCTTCAAGACCAGCAGTCTTGTTGATTTTTGACTTGGACAACAACCTGAACTGCTCACAGCGGACATGGGCTTCGGCACCACCTTTTGCGTAATGAGTCGCCACGAACTGACTTATAAAAAGGACTTATTTTAATATTTACATGACCGCGGTAAAATCCATCCTGACAATCGCCCTGCTTCCTCGTCGTTCCAAAACCAAAATGCCTGTCCTCGCGCCACCAACACTTCTCCTTAGTCCTCAGTCCCAGACACAATCTCGGTCACCGAAAAATGTCACTGGCGGGAGGCAAGATCGCCCTCCACTAGTCATTTTCCAACACAGGGAGGCTTCGTAGTCCTGCCAGATGCCCTCTACGGCACCACGGGAAAGGAAGCTATAGGGAAGAACTTCAATCAAGTGAGTCCACCATATTTAAAAAAAGTGAAAGCCCGTGCTATGGAGATGTGCAGAGCGATGGAACTTCCCGGATTGCTACAAAGTGTCGAAGCCAGCAAGAAACTGCAACTGGACATGTTCTTCACGGCAAAAACCCATAAAGTGGGAGTCCCCTTCAGGGTTTTTTTTACCGAAAGAAATTCATGGCAATATCACGTCGCCTCCCTCATCAGTGAACATTTGACAGCCCTCGATTTGGGCTGTCACCCGTTTATGGTGCAAAAGGTTGAATGCATAATGGAATTTTTTAGAGAGGGTGCTCAAGGAATGCGAAGTGCTTTTTTTTTTTTTTGTCGACGTCTAAGACCTTTTTTATTCAGTTCTTAACGACCACTTATTTTCGTCTGTGAGAGAATGCATTGACAAGAACGGTATTCTTCCGTTCCAGAGTTCCTGTGGAATAAACGTTGACTATTTTCTTGAGGTTCTCAGATATTACTTAAAGCCTACATTTGTTTCTTTGGTCGGGAATAACTTTGGGCAAAAGAGGGGCATTTGTTTTGGCTCTTGTGTCACCTGTTTTGTGCAAAATGTTTCTCAGTGCGTGCGGAAAAGCCGTCGTAAAGAAACTGCGGGTCTCTAGAAGGCTCAAAATATTCAGATTGGTGGATAATTTTCTGATTTTGAGTAATCAAGCTGACGCACTAGAATGTGAAGTGGCGGAAGTGTTGGAGGTGGGTTTAAGACATGTGGCAGTGGCGTAAACTTTACGCATGAGAAGCGAAGGGAGGGACAGTTGCAGTTCCTGGACCTTCAGCTAAGAGTCCAGAGGGACCGCATTTGCTGGAGGTACCAGCCAAGGTCAAAAAAGGTCATTTTCTCGTATAGCTCTGCTCATTCAAAAGTTCTGAAAAGAGGCATTGCCTCTACGTGTCCAGAGGCGGTCCTTAAAAAATCCTGCAGGCATAGTGCACAAGAAATTTTCTGTAAACAGGTTGCGAGGCTTGAGAGACCGGGTTTCCCCCTGGTACTCTGGTCGAGGTGGCAGAGAGCCTGGTACGGAAGATTAAAAGATTACAGAATCAGCCGCGCGGCAGGATTACGACGACGACACCGGGGTAAATCCCGTAGATGCACAGAGTCACGCAAAATCTTAAGAAAGTTGTCTTGCGCTACGATATGTTTGTGGTGTTTAATGCTTCAAATAAGCTTGCGTACATGTTCAAAACGCCGAAATCTTCGTTTCTTCCTCCGACAATAAAATCTAAGAACTACTTCGCGCAGTGCAGCAATAATACACAAAACTTTATTTTTCCTTGGTGGGAAAACGACCATATGTGTACTGTTCTGAACTCTCCTATAATCGCTACTGCGATACGCATCTTGAACACCCCAGGTTAACACACGTTCTGCAACATCCAAATTCCCCATCAATACCGAATGTATTCGACGTTCTTTGAGGCAGACTAACTGCATGCTGTCTGATATTAAAACTGCAAAATTCCCCGTTTGATTACCTTGCAAAAGTAAACTGAAAAAACTACGGGCGCATAGGGCGTGGTTCCAATCAAACAGGTCCGCGTCAATCTAGACCTTCGCAGCACAGAAATAAAAAGAAAACATATTGAAGGCCAGTATTCATTACACAGTTGAAGCTAGAAATCGCACTGTTTTATTTCAATTCAAACTGTACTCGTGCACCCCTAGCGGGGACCGAGATCCTTCCGGCCCGCGCAGGCGAGAGGCCGCAATCAGGATTGGAGTTGCGTCGGGACCCTTAGCTGTAGCAACGTACCTTGATTAGTTTGTCGAGACACCACTTAGGGACATATCAGTAGTCTCGGCGTAAATAGAACGGAGTGGGACGCCTGGCGAAGGATCTGTAGGCTTACCCGCAGAGCTTATAAGGGGCCTACATTCGAGGAGAGCAAAAGCACAAATACATGTAAGCTTGCTGTAAGCTTGTTCCTAATCACGTGGAGAGATTGTTCGACCGGCTTGTTGTTCCTGGTTAAAACGTAGCTGACCAAGACAATAAGCCAGATAAAACCCAAACTTGACTCACGTTTGACAATCTTGTTGGCCGAACTTGGGCCTAATAAAGCTTTGCTCCAAGGAGTTCGGGCCAAGTGTTTCTGCTTTGACGCCATCTAGCCAGAGAAATGCCGTAGTCTGATTATTCCTTGGTTCGCCGCGTACGTTCCAGGGTGGAACCTAGCTTCGATAAGCAAACTGAACGCCTCCCCAAGTAGCACAACTCGCCGGTTTGGGACTGGGGCGGTACCGGTCTGCCGGTAAGATCCTACTGGGGCGACGCTGGAAACGCACCGCGGGGCGACAACGGGCCAGTGAGATTGCCAGTCACTGGCCGGTGACTGGGACGCCCGGCACTGGGCGTCCCAGCGAGTTCCCGGGATGCTGCCAGCACAAATCCCCAGCGTAGTACCAGTAACGCGGTAAGATACCAGCAAGACCCCAGGCTAGCGGCCTCAAGCCATAGAGTCCCCGGGCTTGTTTTGTCCCAGCGAGTTCCCGGGCTGCTGCCAGCACAAATCCCCAGCGTAGTACCAGTAACGCGGTAAGATACCAGCAAGACCCCAGGCTAGCGGCCTCAAGCCATACAGTTCCCGGGATGCTGCCAGCACAAATCCCCAGCGTAGTACCAGTAACGCGGCAAGATACCAGCAAGACCCCAGGCTAGCGGCCTCAAGCCATACAGTTCCCGGGCTTGTTTTGTCCCAGCGAGTTCCCGGGCTGCTGCCAGCACAAGTCCCCGGTGCACTACCAGCAGTACCGCAAGATACCAGCAAGACCCCAGGCTAGCGGGCTAAAATCGTACAGTTCCCGGTCTTGTCATACAGCCTAACATGTGGTTTTGTGTGCAATTTACACCTGAATAGAAATGATGTAGTTCATAAGAAGAATAATTTTAACAACAAATGAGTGTAAACAATTATGTTGCACTGTACATGAAAGTAAATTTCTGGCATAGGTATACACCTTATTGGTAAAGCGGCTGCCACAGCCATCTGTCGCTCATACACATGATAGCAAATAAAACATACAAAATTGTTACCGTAATTGTTTATTGTCAGCTCCAGTGAAGCTACAGCTTGGCTGGTCATCATGGGCTTGTCGCTAGAGGAGTGCGCTGGATGAAAGAGGCTGCATGTCACGGGCCTAGGAAATGTTCTTCACACTTTTCATGCAGCTTGTGATGCAAGTCGACCATGCACCCAGGAAGGGGAGTCCTTCATTAGAGCACCTGCAAAGAGAATCAACAGCACAGTAAAATGACAGGGTAAATCAATACCAGCTGCACATGATAATCCAGAAATTCCAAACTGGGCAAGCGCTTAAAAGGTTAAAACAGCGAAAAGGACGACGGACAGGGTAAAGGACACGGACAGAGCGCTGACTCGAAACTAAATTTTCATTGAACTCAACGGCGCAATATATACACACTATTGAGAACAAAAAAAAAGAAAATCAGCCTGAAAAACACCCAAAACAAAAGCACAAAAACTAAGTAAGTATCACCTCTAAAAAGATAAACCAAGCTAATCAAGTGGCCAGAAAACCAGAGGCATGAGACAAGAAGCCCATGTAAAAGAAAAACTTTTTGTAACCAATGCGTTAATTGTCTTCATTTCATTTTCAATCTGGAAACTATATCAAAACAAAAATACTTTGATTGCCCAAAGGGACACCTGTTACAACACACTGGATAACCAAGCGGCAAAAATGGCCCAGTTATCTCATAATCAAGGTTAGCTATTTGCATGAAGAAGGCCCACTTCAAAGAAAGGCTCGTGGAAATCATCTACTTTAATTCAAAAGGGCATGTCGAGAGACGGGCAAACTCGCCGGAGTAGTTGGCATGTAGTTTAACATTGCCGTTCGTCCCGATAGGTGCGAGAGATCCAGCATTTTTAGGTAAATATAGCGATTCATTAGTCTTACTGAGACAATGACAAATCATATCCTTGACATATTCGCGACCCTAGCAAAACGGACAGCACCAAGCGGGAAAACCAGGAACCAGCCAGAACAGGTCGCTCTGCGCCTCTCCACGTCTCTGGCGGCTTTCGCGGACACGTGTTGTCGACGCGGTGGCAAACAATGTAATTTGATGAAGGTCTGAATATTTCTCAAGTTTGCCTGAGTGTTCATCAGTGTGATGAAGCCTCAGTAAATTGTTTCTTTCTATCACGTGTTTGAAAGCCTGTTTACTCCACAACACACAATCGCGTGCTTTCAATTTCTTGGATGGGGAGGAATCAAGGAAAAACGTTTTGATTTCTTCTCTGGCTCGAATGACATTCAAAGTGACAACTACTCGGTAATTGATAAGTGGTATGTAAAACAGACGAGGTGTTTCACTGGAGGGAACCCCAATGCTGCAGTCAAGTGAATGGGAAGGTTCAATAGCTGCTTTTCTTGAATTTGGCTGTGTTTGATTAGCGTCAAGATTGAGCCACCCACGCTGGTCGGTGCATTGGCTATTCATCTTGGCAGCTTTTCACCGAAAAAGCCTCTGGACCACACCGAAAAAGTTGGGCTGATTTCGCATCTACTTGATTCTCGAAAACCTCCTCGCTGCATACGATTAATGAGGGATATTGTCTGCTTTCAAAAAATGGGGGACGCGTCTCGCAAAGTTAGAAGCTGTCACGACATTATGATCTATTGCGCCTCCAATATTTATAATATACCCTCGTTGAAGCCAGCAGCAATATTCGTCTACATTGCTCAGGTTGTCCGGCCACAAAAGATACTCTCCTTCTCCATTCAGGATTTGAAGTCAAGTTTAATGCAGAGGGGTTCTGCGTGAATCTCCGATGAAGACTCTCTTCAAATTTGTCCGCAATCATCTCCGTGCTGCCGGCTAGAACCATATGGCTGAGTTTAGGTAGTATCTCTCCGTCTGTCAAATATACTTTGATTCAGCAGTTCACCTAATAGCTTGTCAAGTAAGCTCATATTTCAGCCCAAATAATATACTAATATCCCTTTAGTGGGACATGGTACATAATATAATGCATAACCTGCACATTCGTCAAAATGACTTCGATTGTCACTAAAACCCGAGTTGAAATACGAGTATCAGCTGCTTAGTGGGGCTCAAGAAGCTCAAGCTTGGCTCAAGAAGCGCTTGCTTAATTTTCGTAATTTTCCTGCAGCCTGTGTTGCTGATCGAGCAGACGACTGGAGCTGTTTCTTAATACGCACAAAAGCTCGATTTCGCCGACAGATAAGTCGTATGGTCGAGTGATGCGAGGTAGTTGAAAATTACTGTCGGTGGAACAATTCTGTAGTCATCGCTGCTTTCCTTACCTGATCAAAACTGATTAGAGTCTATTACCGTCTCTTTGGAGCCCATAGTTTCGGTAATGAACGAAACCTCTGAAACAAAAGTTTGACATGAAAAGAACAAAAAGCACCGGGAAAACAAAACTATGCTCTGCAAGTTTATCTGCACCGGCTACACTTAACCGTCGCAGTTGAAATACCTATAAAATAGGGCATTAAACAAAAGAAAATCTGTTAAATTGAATGCGCTACCCGTTCAGGCGGCCCGGCCGAGCCGACGCGACCTGTTCCCAGCCGCCATGTTTGTTTGGTGGTGGCGCCCCCTATAGATCGTTGGAGTCGCGAATACAGCTCATTGTTGTACACATACTAATGAGATTGGGTAGACACATGTAAACATATAATATATTGCAGAGTATGGCCCCTGTGTTCCCACATAATGGCAACCTGACTAAAACTCATCTGCAGACTTCACCAAATAAAAAATAGCGACTTACCCAGAAACTAGTATATATTATTAGCGTCTACCATAAACTCACATTGAGTGTTTACCATCGGCATGCCCCATAGCCCTTGAAAACGCCCGCAAGCCTCACTTACTTTAAGCATATGACATCATATGACAAGAAACATTCCCTCGTGATCATCATTAATATCTACAGGTGCGAACAGTTCAGGCAAATCAATAGAAAGATAACAAATCAGTAGTGAGGTGGTGTACAGTGGCTGGTAGGTGCAGGTTAATATGTATGGGACATCTATTTTCTGAGTAATATTGCTTATCTGGTCAATTTTCTTCACAGACCCATCACATACTGAGACAAGGTTCTCAATACAGTGAAAAACAGGAAGGAGGAGTGAGTTCCAGATTTAGCTTTGCACAAGCTATGTGGCAACTGACTTCATCCTCTTAGAATTTATTGGAGTGGATCTGGGTATGATTATGTCTAGCCCAACAATACTGCTAGGAGCACCTTCAAAACCTTCAGAAAGGGGTAGAGGAAGTTTGAATCATAATTTCCGTATTGCGATGAGAGCTGCTCATACTGAGAATTGATGTGAGCCAATGTCGGCCATACTTCTGCCTGAAATATCTATGTGTCAGCCACCCCCTATCAGAAAAAGTTTTAGCTGAACGCTTTTTACGGGCCGCTCCGCTCAGCCACTGAGCAGGAAAGTAACCAGGCACACACGTAACGCTCAGTCGGCAGAGGTCATCGGGGTGCAGGAGTTGTCTGCCCCATCGGCATCTGCGCTCCGACTGGTCGTTGCTGACTGAGCATTGTGAGCATGCAGGTGCTTTCCTTTTGAGTGGAGCGGGTCGTAACAATGCTCAGATAAAACTATCTAATGTCAATGTCGCAGCCTCAACAGCCAAACGAGCAGTTTTCTTCCTCGCTTGCACAATAGACCAAAATTGCACTGCATACTGCTTTAGAGGCTTGTTGGCATGTTTCACACTTACTCTCTGCAGACAGCTAGGACTGTCGCTAAGCGAGGAAAAAAAAAAGTGTGAACACATATCATGCACGCCAAAAGAAAACATCAATGGAACTACACGAGACTGCATTAAAGTTGCCAATTGGGCGCTATTTATACCGCACAGCCACTGTGTGTGCTCAAGTAAACTAGCTCTACATATACCGCTCAGCACACCACAGCTAGGCTGAATCACATAAGTGTCACACTTGCCGAGCTTGAAGTACAGTCGTGATCTCTACGAGTGTGAACAAGCAATCATCGACTGCTCAGTACTGGGAGCATCATGCACCAGCGGACTTGCTCTCCTTTTAAAATGCCTTGCGAACCAAGCATGGTAAGTCATCTGATAAGGAGAGAACGTCACCACGGACAGCACTGAGCAGTTGATAATCGCCTGCTTACCTTCATATGTATCAAGTCTCTACCTGGCCGAAGTAGGCAGTATGTGTGCAGCAGAAACGGCTGTACTGAAATCTCAAAAGGATGAAAGATCAGAACAAGCTTGGTAAGCTTTCACGTTGCAAGTATGCCCATGCGAATTTCACTTTCTAAAACATAAACACGCATTTCAAATTGTCATCCAGGACAAGCTGCTATTACACAGCTGTATATATAAAGCAGCTTACCATCAACAACCTTTGCAGACTGCCATGGACCTGATCCTCGGGTCGGCTGGTGATGCAGGAACAAATTGGCCTAGTCGATGCTAGCTTCCGTTCGGCAAGGGCTGCACTGAGTATAAAGGTGAAAAAAGTGTTGTAGATAATGTGAAACAAACAAAAGCAATCCTAGCATCCACAATTCGCTAGAGGCACTGAAAACAAAAATCAGAGGTTGGGTCAATTATGTTAATGCAATATACTTCGGACACATACCATGACTGCAGGTAAGATATTTGCTGCCTTCAATCTAGATCTGCTTGAAAATTTACAAGCTAAATAACAAATATTTTATAAGCTGAAATATATTTCGATGGAACTACAAAATCTGAAGACTATCTCTGCAAATATGGTGCTATCTAGTACACCAGGGATGAGTAGAATTGGATTACAGCATCCCCCTTACAAAGATTGAAGCAAAACAAGTATAGAGTCTGCCGTGCCACTACAGTAAAACCTCGTTAATTTGGATCTCATGGGACCGGCAAAAATGTCTGAATTATCCGAAGGTCGAAATATCGAAAGAACAAAGAAAGCTGCGCGAAAACGTTTCCTTCATTTTGAGAAGAAATCTGTTATTACCGCCTGCTTTCTGGACGACGCTTGGGCGGAGACGGCAACTTTCCTTAGCGCGGTCGAGTGCTCCACCGCACTCGCACTGTCGGAGCTACGCATCCCGTGCGCTGACAATGTAGTACAGCAAGGCCTCTTCTAGTTTCGGGTGCACCACCTTCCAAGGCCGCTTTCTTTTCGTGTTGAACTTCTCGCTCTCGAAAGCCTGTAGGATATCGGCCACAATTTTTACGTATGTAGCCAAAGTGTTTCTCTTGACGTCGCAACCTTCCATCACTTGTCGAGAGACGCCGCCCTCCAAGGCCCTCAGTATTTCCACTTTCGTTGCTAAATTCTTAGCCTAGTACAGCTGCAACGGAAAACGAGTAGCAAAACTGACCAGTAATCGGAGCGGCGAAATCGCGACAGCCGGCGCTATTTTCCCCGAGCGCCGATAGCAAGAGTGCCAGTCACGTTGCATTTTTCAATGCAGGGGTGGCCAGCGAAAAATTGAGGGATAGGATAGTTGTTAAAATGGCGGGCTTTAGGATCCCCGCGTTGAGGCATAAAACGTGACTGTCACTCTTGCTATTGGCACGCTCGGGAACAATAGCCCCGCGTGTCGCGATTTTGCCATTCCGGTCGTCGGTCACCTGTGCTACCCTTTTTCCGTTGCAGCAATGCTTCTGCTGCTTCCATGCCAGGAGAGTAACGCGCTGAAGCACGGCGATCCAGAGCAAAACTGGTGCGAAACACGGAGAACCGAAAGAGCGAAGAACCATGGGAAAACCGGAAAAACCATGTGCGCACTTCGGATGGATAGCGGTCATACCCTTTGGAACAGACGGTAGCTAGCACCACCTGCCGAATTTGTCCGAATTAACCATAGTGCGCCGCGTTCCCTCCGAATTAATGAGCGTTTGCTGCCATTGACTAATACATATGTTTGACGGGACCGGATCGACAGTTCAAATTATCCGAATTAGCGGGGGTTGAATTAACGAGGTTTTACTGTACAACAGAAACGACTCTACTGTGATCTCGTGGAGATCAGAGTTCGGAACAGGCATGAAGGATTTGGCACGAGAAATATGCCAATGTCATTATTCATTTTTGCAACATTAAAATTACTCTGAAAGTGCGACCAGCTGCACGGTGTATTCACGCAAATCTTGCGAGTGCTGAATTGTAGGCACAGTGCCCTGGTTGTGTTCATGTGCGATATATGACCAAATACCATAGAGACCAATACTGCAAACCTCTCCGAAAACCAATGGGTGCGGTGGCGAACGGCGTGAGTGGCGCTGTTCACCTCTCTTGCCGTCCATTTCTGTTTGCGTGTTGCCACTTCCAATGGGAAGGCCATTATTGGGAACATTAAACAAACAAATAAAAATACAAACACAACACACACAGCAATACTGGCAGCAAGTTGAGACGCACTTCTGTTGTAAACTCAGCATTCCCCTTACGAATGGGATGCGCAATTCCCCTAGAGTGTTTCATTCCACGTGAGTGGCATCGGAATTGCTAAAGGCCAGTCCATAAACACAGTCTGCGTTAAAAACAATCCTATCAGCAATAAGTTGCTATTATATTGCTCAATATATAGAGCACCTTACCATGAACAGCCTTGGCAGTCTTCCATCAAGCCTGGCCTTCAGCAGAGGAAGCTGTCATTCTGTGTCGCCTCAGGACACTCACATCAGGATGGTGAAAGTGAATGCCAACTTCTACTTGGTAAGGACTGCAGCAAGTATAAAGATGAAAACACAGATTAGAATATACGATAAAAAATATCATGGACCAACTTGAAAAAAGTGCACAAAAAGACAAGGACAAAAGGACAGGAACACAGAGGACGCAGACTGGTGCACACTCACAACTTGATCTATTGAGCATAAAAGAAAAAAGAAAAAGAATCAGAGAAATCAGAAAGGCTGTGTTCGGAGAACGTGAGCTTCAGAAACCGGGCGTGAGCAAAAGATGTCAGGTAGATTGTTTTACAGACACTTTGGAATTAACAACAGCCTTTCCATGTAATAAGGTGGTGAGTTCATTCTGATTGAACATCCTGAAAAATAACAGACAAAAAACAAGGAATAAAGGAGAGGAATACATACACTACATACGAGTGTAGACTCCCAACTCACAAATTGGAGAAGAAAAAAAATAAAGAATGCGGAACGAGCTTTAGCAAAAGTTCGAACAGGTCCAAGTGGAACGTGCTGACTCCCACCCATATGCATAAGACTGTAAACACGATTTTCTTGGCAGCTCAGGTAACAGACGGATGTGCGAACACATTGGTGGCCCATACTATGAATAATAAAGGCCTAAAATAATTCCCTTGTATGTTTTTCACAGTATCTGCTAATTATTCACGTTTTCTCTGAAAGCCTCGTCCCACTAGAGTGACAAACACCGATTTTTGTCCGACGACACCACAAAGTTCCGTGTCGCCGATGCTGTCCCACTGCAACGGCCAACACCCGCGACAATCGCCGACAAACCATCGACGACGGACGAGTTCTTGTCTGTTGTTGGACTTGAAGCGCAGCAAGCAGTCCCACCGAGGAACATCTGTCGGATACAAACTTATCCTCCTCGCCCGCTTGTGCCCTCTGTTGCCTCTCTTTCCACCCTTCCTCCCGTGGCTTGCTCCACCGCTCGACCTTTAGAGAAGCCCTTGGCGGCATCTCCCCGTTCCCGCAGTTCCAGTCCCTCGATTGCTCATAGTGGTCGCGGGCGCGGCTTTGCTTGCTGGCGCTGGGCAGTCATGTTGCGAAAGGCTTGTCTGTGGCTGGTTTTGCTTGCAAAAACTTTGTGCGCGATTTGGTGCTTCAAGATGCCGAGGTCTACGCCCCTAAATCAGGATGGATACACCCATGTTCGAGGACTGACCAAAGACCGCTCACCACGAAGTAGGACACGACGTTCCGCGGCAAGCCATTCCGGCAGACGAGACTTGTCATCACGTTCTGTGATGATCGGGATGCCGTATTGTCCCCCATAAAACGCCTGCCCTCGATCATTCGGATATGAAGTTTTAAACATCCTCAAAATCAGGGTGAAATTCCTTGGTGCTAACTTAGAATTCCTCGAACGACCCCCCCAAAAAAAAAGGAACGATTCGGGTATTCTAGTTCAGAAAAGGTTTGGTGTCAATTATCACGACTGTTTGTGGAAAGTCGCCAACGGCAAATGAAGAGAAGCGGAAGCTTTAATCAAGAAACAAAGTAATTGTCTCCACTTTCACCGTGTTTGTCGGCGCATTTAATGCCCAAAGAGCAAAATATGAAAACTGCATCGCCAGACTGTTTATCTGTGTATTTTGAAGTGTTTTGTTGACAACTCCAATCCCACTAGGAAAGAAGTTTCCTCGTCCCCGTGTCCTGCGTCGTGTCCGCCAGGTGGGACAGCGTGCGTCGTGTGTCGCTCGTCGTGTGTCGCTGTCGTTTGTTGCTGTCTGTCGCTCTAGTGGGACGAGGCTATAAGGATGACACATGAGCAGTGTAAATAGTGCATAAGTAGGTGACAATTCATCGTAGACTTTAGAGAGAGATTAAGCTGTCTTTATGTATTGGCCATCAATCTGTTGCCTTAACAGACAAGGAAATTATGGTTTTAAAATCTGCTCTTGCTAATGGGTGAATCGGCGCATTCCACTTGGGCCTGTGCTTGAGCTCCTTCCGCATTCTTTATTTTTTCCTTCTCTGTTCATGCGAGTCGAGAGTCTGCGCTTGCGTATGGTTTACACGTAACTCTGCTTGTCTCCTTGCCTTTTGTGGTGAACTGTTTTTCAAGCTGTTCAATTAGTAAAGCTCACCACCTTACTACAATCATGCAACAACTAAAAACAATTACAACCTACACCATTCGCTCAAGGCAGTACCAAACGAAAAAATACCGGGATTGGGTGAGGCATGTCTAACACTATATACTTACACTGAACTAAATATACCTCTCATAAACTGGCGAGACACTACCTTAATCCAGGACATGCTTGTAAATTTCCCCAGAAGCGGCATCAAAAAATTATTTCGTGGGCACAAAGTTTTGCGATCAGGAGCGGTATGCTATGCAAATCACCATGGGATGAATTCATCGCGGCACCAATTTTTGACAATTCTTTTCTGATAACGAGTCACGAAAATAAAGCCGTTTGCAGACGACTGCGCGGCGGAAGCTACGGACTCGCTCGATCCTCCTCTGCCTTTTGCCTGGCTCAGCTCTCCGGACGCAAATACGCACACGGAATCCACCCGTAGTGTCTAACCGAGAGCTTAGACGATAGAGGGGCACCGCGCTGAGTTGAGTGCTTTATTTTTTTTGTTGGGGGGGGGGGGGGGGGGGGGGGGGGCACCGCGCTCTTCCAGACATCCTAGTTTACCAGTGAACAATACGGTGGAGGGAGGCAATCAAACTTCCCCCCCTCCCCCTCCCCTTTCCGCCTCCACCCGCCGGCTGGCCGGCTGGCCGGCCGGCCGGCCGTCCGCACGCCCGCCGCCGCCGCCGGCGCCGCCGTCCCCCCCCCCATCTCCCAAAAAGTTCCGCCGCTATTGATGGACCTGGACCGAGTACACAGCCTATTTGTGAACGAAGCAAAACAGCCTCGCATAGCACCATTCGCGCACAATTAGTAATACTGGTAAAAGCAAGCGATCTAGACAATAACAAGCATTTTGAACGGAAAAAAGAATAATCTAGCCCTAACGGACAAAGAAAGGAACTTACTTTGAAACGACCGTGCCATGATCTTGGCTGTTGAGCAGATTCGACGTAGTTCCACGGCTCACAGTCGCTTCCTTCGTTTTCGGACACATTTGAAACTAAGTTGAACTCCACGCATCACGACTAATCGGTAAATTGACCTCAAGACAGAGACGTGAAACACACACGGCCAACACGTCCGGCAAAACAAGGTTGCGGATTGGATTGGATCGCGTTCGTTGGCTATTATGGATGTCTAACGACTTTACGGAATCTATGTGCGCGTATTGGCGCGTATCTTCAACACGCTTGCAATAAAACAATCAGCAAAGCGCATTAAAAAACTATTAAAACACACAGTAATAATAAATTATTGAGTATGCGAAAATTGCCACAATATTAGAAATATGTCCTGAACACGTAACAAAAAATTACATACGAAACTAACCGTACAGTGTATTCAAACGAACTCAGCAGACATATAAACTACTAAAAACAACGCTTTTCGATTCGGCGATTTGGTCTTGGTGGTTAACGCGCGATGCGGGTGATCGTGTGGTCGGTGGTTCGAAACCCGGAAGCGCGAAGTTTTTTATTGCTTTTTTTACTACGTTTTTTTATTTCTTTTTAATATTTTTTTTAATGTTTTTTGCAGTTGCCGGCCCCTTACTTTAGGGTAAAAATCACGCAAAATCTGGAAATAAGAAGTGCGAGCCCAAATTTAAATTGATGCAATGCACAAGCCGTGGCCCTCTTGTTTTGCCTGGATAATTCGCTCCCTCCGTGCTAATTTCTGGGTCAGTGTAGTAGGCAAACAGCGCAAGTCCTTTCAACGAAGTAAAGAAGGTAATAATAATGGGAATATTGAGAGCAAAATGAGAAAATGAGTAAGTGGTCAAACTGCCACAGTGATGCAGCCGAAGTTTGTCTGAAGGTGGTCAACTTTACCCACTGTTAAAACAGAAATACCGCCATTTTAAGACAGTTATTTAGCTGAGCTCACAGCGCGGTACGTATTAAGCACATCTCTTATTTTTCTGACTTACGGAAAGTAGTACTTAATTTTCTTCTGGTACATCAGTGATATTTCCCTCGCCTGCCGCCTGATTGTACTTATCGAGGTTGCGCTCCGCAGTTTTACTTTTTTATTAGGCCTAAACATGTTTTTATTCCTGAGATCCAAGAACAGTGCGGATAATTAAACTAGCTTTCAGAGACGGCATCGTTCGGTATTAGAACATTTATGTTTCGCAGCGTCAAGGGGTCACATTCACTACCCGGCAGTGTAAACATCCACAACGCCTTTATCGTGTTAAAAAAAAAAAAATGTTTTTATATTTGTTTTTTTGTTTTTGTTGCGGTATGTCGTATATAACATAAGCTACCGGGGGACAGATCGTCTGGCTATGTCAAAATTTGAAATATTTCTGTTAGATGATCGTAACTACCACAGAAAACAGCCGATTCTTGACTGAAATAGCATATTTTCACACTCAATTAAAATCACCAATAACACGATCTCAGGAGAGTTGTGTACCTCTCGTAGCGTCATAAGCAATACACACATCTCTTTCTTGTCCAGATTCTGCAATGCAATGCAAATTATAGTTTTTGTAACTCAAAGCGCGTGCTCAATCATGCCACGTGTTTGTTAATTGTGGTTGCTGCTCTTCATTCGGATTCTCAGCTATACCGTTTTTATTTTAATTTTCTTATCAGAGCCAAATACGTGCGTATACCACCGACCTTAAGTATAGTGCATCAAATTAAACTAGCTTCCTGAAAAGGTATCGTTCGGCGTTGTGTAATTTATTCTTCATGGCGTTGGTGGTCAGATTCTCGAATCCTGAACTGCAAATGTTCCTCGCCGCATTGTTTTTTTCTCGCGTTTTCGCAATAAAACACGTCAGCCTTGCCATGCTGGGATCAAATACACCAGCGTCGGCAGTTATTTGCGAAGGATTGATCTATGCGAATATTTCCACTCGCTATTCATGAATTGCCACAGTTCGTCAGAATCTGAATGACTTGACTGCATAATAAAAACGGCAAAAAAAAAAAGATAAAACGATGTCGGTTAGTAAACGGAACTTCCATGGCGGGGCTCGCCAGCCTAAACAGCAAAGCGCCGATGCCGGCCAGTCACTGAACTTCCGTGTAAATACTGGCCATCAGAGACAGCAAAGTGCCGATGCCGGCCAGTTACTGAACTTTCATGTAAATACTGGCCATCAAAGACAGCAAAATACCAATGCCGGCCAGTTACTGGAACCTCCATGGAAAGACTGGCCAGCAAAGACAGCAAAAACCCGATGCCGGCCAGTCACTGTAACTTCTTCGGCTGAACTGGCCAGTGAGCAAGACGAAACCCCGACGCCGGCCGGGGCCGGTAGCTCACCGGCGCCAATGGCCGGGCGCCGCCATCCTGTTACCGGGACCGGCCGGCGTAGTCCCGATACCGGCCGACGCGGTGTGCTACCTGGGTCATAGCCGCTAAATTCGCCTTGCACGTGCTGACAGCGGTGCCCGAGCCTCTACTCAAACAAATCAAGATTGGGCCTTTGATGTCTGAAGACACTGCCAAAAAAACAAGGGCAAAAAACTTCGGGCTCCAATCCAGACTGTAAAGGTGGTTTGACAGCAAAGCTGTGGTATCACCTGAAACGACTGCCTACTGCTATAGACCCTTTTTATGGCAAACGTCACCAGATGGGTGCTCCAGTTTTTGACGTCCCAGAGAACTTACAGTTTATAAAAAGAATGAACACAGGCCACCTTAACAGCGCTGCGTGAAATATAGACGAAACGTTTAACCACCGATTCTCTAGGTTAGCGTAGAAAGAGTGAAGGAGTGAGATATCTGTTACAGTGTCTCGAGTATTCTTTGAAACCAGCTTGTCTCCTCTAAGCTGCAATTCTACAACCGAAGGCCCTCATTAAATCTTCAACTTTGTTGTCCGTGTAACATTTATTCTTTCTAGCACTGGTGACATAAGCAAGCTCAACAGGCTTGCAAAGACGGCGTGACCGGCAGTCGCTTGGGACGCAAGTGGCAGTTCATGTTTGTAAACACCAAAGTGGGGTATACTAAATGATACTGTACCAAACCTCTTTATATATGAAAGGCTAGTGAAGTCACTCCCCACGTCGCATACTGCCGTCGCCGCGGCAGCTTGCGCAATATTAATCTTTACCGCTAAACGTATGTGGTGAGCACTACGCCCTTCGCACTGGTATAAGGAGCTCCATATCATCAATTATCTGGAACGGATGCTTATTTTGTGGTTGTTCTTTATTGAAACGAATGCAGTGCTCTATGTCCTATGTTTGATAGAAACTTTTCGTTTCAATCGCTGAATGTTATTTTTTATGTGAGGACGGCGACACGAAAAGATTCCAGAAAACCGACCAGTGAGTCATAAGCAGCTTCGTTGTGAAAGAAAATACGTCGTCGTCATTCCGTTTATTAACAATTTGGCTCACAACCCCACAAGAAGCGCAGGCAGTTGTGATGTGGACGTGCTATTCTTCGCTCCAGACAAACTGTCAATCGCTCTCTAAGATATGCTAGCCCTTGCAAGACAAAACGTGGTGATCATCTCGTTTCTTGTGATGGAAGGTTGCTTATGCACTTCCTTTGGCATGCGGCAAGCGTTATATGGGTCAGAGTGGCCGCTGTTTTAACGACAGGGTGTGTAGGCTTACAAACGCGGCGGAGGCGTTTTGCTGGCTGCTCATCGCAATCTGCAATGCGTTGCTATTAGCACCCCCTCCACTTTGGAAATCATGTTTATATCCTGTAATGCTTCCTACCCACCCATTATTATTAGGGCTTGTTACCGCCCACCAGATGACGATTCTTTTTTTATTGCTGAATTTCATGAAGCCAATCGTTGGATAACTACGTCATATCAGCACGCTCCCATTCTTCTGCACGGTGACTTTAACTTTCCTGCAATAACCTGGGTCAACCTGGCACTTACTGCATCCAAACACAACACAGAAAGCGACTTCGTTAACACGTGCCTCACATTTGGTTTATCGCAACTTGTTTCTTCGCCAACCAGGCAAACTGATCATTCTTCTAACATTTTTGCCTTGCACTTGCTTCGCATCCAGAAAACATGTCGTCAATTACATATTTAACCGGTTTCGGTAATCACGTAACAATAGACGCCACATTTTAGTGTCAACTTCCGCACCCCGAAAGGTGAAGCAAACTTTAACACTGTATGATAAAAGTGACTACAAAAGCATGAACGAAGAACTAGACACTTTCCGCAGCTGGTTTCTCACTGACTTTGCAAAACGTTCTGTTGAAAAAAAAAACGGAAGTATTTTTTTTAAATAAAATGGAACATCTAATCACAACGTATATTCCCACCATCACTGTTATTGAGCAAACACCAGCTCCGTGGTTCAATAACGTGCTGAAACGTATCAGCAACACAAAAGCCACAGTTTAGATCAGCTAAACTGTGGAACAGCACGCGGGCATGGGATAAATACAATGCCACCAAAAAAAGTTTGACCTTTTTATTGCTCAAACCAAACGCACGTTTTTTTCTTCTACTTTGCCCGCGATGTCGCATACCGATCCCAAGCAATTTTGGAAAATGATCAACCTCGGTCACTCAAAGCCCATACCATTATGTGATGAGAACAACTCGCCCCCCATTCCCAAACATGACATTCCCCAAACATTGAACTCCTCCTTCTGTTTTGTTTTTACGCAAGAACCAGCCTGCGATCTCCCTGAATTTTCATACTCTGATCACCGGCTATGCTCAACATAAACCTTAATTCTAATGGAGTCCTAAAAGCAATCGAAGCTTTGAAACTAACATCACCCGCAGGTGTTGATGGCATCATTTCAAAGATACTAAAAAACACAAAAAGTGCCACAAGCGTCCTTTTGTCACACATTTTTCAGCAATCTCTCTCATCTGGAGTGATACCACTGGACTGGAAGGTGGGCAAGATCGTTCCCATACCAAAAAAAGGTCCATCAACCTCAAGCAGCAGTTATCGTCCCATTTCAATCACCAGTGTTTCATCAAAATTAATGGAGCATATAATTTACTCGCACGTTATAAATTTTTTAGTATCTATTAATTTTTCTCACCCGAGCAAACATGGTTTCCTGAAAGGATTTCCTTGTGAAACCCAGCTTGCTCTTTTTACTAACGATCTAAGTTCAAGTGCTGATCATAACATACATC